AAAAGCAGCAGCATTCTCAAACAGCTGACAGTAAGAGTAAAATACAGCTTTACTTCTTAAACATCTGGAAAAGGATAAGAGTAGAAGAACAGTTTGCTGACAACTGTAGAGCTAGCACAGATTTAGGACATTGTGCTGCCAAATGCAAAGCTCCTTCAGGCATGAGCAAAGGATCCTCAGCTGGATCTGTCCTTTGGGATGCAACGGATGTCAGTCTTTCAAATTAATGATTCCCTTTCCTGGAAACCTACAGTTTGTTGTGACTATGGGAGCCTAAAGTTCATGCACAGTCCTAAGACAGACTAGAGGTCATGATGAATTCTTTTATCTGGAAGAAGCTTATGAGTTTTGTTAGATGATCAAAAATAGAAAGTTCGGTTTAGTTGCATTGAGGCCCTTTATAGACAGAGTTCTCACTTAATCTTACAGCCATCTTAGTGAGTAGGTACATGGCAGCAGACCACATCAGGACTTCTTGGATGCAGACTTCAACTGGAACAGGTCTCACAGCAGAAGTGCTGTTGCCAGTGCTGCATTTTTATATATAAATAACATAGTAACACAAACAGGGATGGTCCTGTGTGGTAAATTTATCAGGCTCATCAGCTCAGACAAAAAAAAAAAAAAAGCAGAGCTCTGAAGGACGCAAAACTAACCCCTGCAGTTCCACAAAAACATCTTGAAGGAAGGAAAAGACAAACATCATCTGTAGCACACTGAGATCTCAAGTCAAATCCTACTCACCTTACTCAGGAGAAATGATTTTTCAGTTTCAGCTCTAGGCCTTGGAGATGCTGGATATATGGATTTTTAGGGCTTACAAACCCTTAACTTTCACAGTTTAAAGGAGATAAATCAAAAAAGGCCAGTGATTAAGGCTATGTGTATTCAAACAAGAGCTACTGAAATGTGGAACATGTCAGTAATCTAAAAAAGGACCAAATAAGCCACCCTAAAAGCACTTTTCAGTGGAAATTGAGGGTAAAAATACACCATATTGCACTGTGAGCTTTGACAAGTATAAATAATAACTGAAGAGAAACCACACAGGTTTGTTGTCCTCACTGGATATGTGAGGCCAATTCAGCTTGTCAATGTGCCCACAGATTGTATACAATCTAGATTTTGTTTACTTTTTTGTTGTTGTTGTTTTTCCCAGAAGGTGCAGGGAGAGTTCAAGAACAATCTAAATTTCTTTAGCCTGCCTATTTTTTCTATCCAAAGTTATCTACTGCACAACAGGCAGGAATTAGCATTTGTTGTTAATGATTTAAAATGCCATATCTATTATGCAAGTGCCTGAACCCAAGGGCTAAAATGTTCCGAACACTTTTCTGTACTTACACTTCTAGAAAGAATTTACAGAGTAAAGTACCAATAAAAAAAACAAAACAAAACAAAACAAAAAAAAAAAAAAAAAAACAAAAAAACCCAAACCCAAAAACCAAAAAAACTCAACCAACCAAAAAAACCACCAAAACAACATAACAAGGGGCTGGAAAAGACTGAGATTAACCATTCAATTTAAATCACTACTCTGTTACACAAGGTTTGTCCAACTTGTTCTTAAAAATCTCAACCAGAAAAGCCTCTCCTCATGTCTGCACAGCCTTGTCTACCTTCTCTTTCTCTTGAAAAGGAGGCTCAGGGGTGACCTCATTGCTCTCTACAACTTCCTGAAAGGAGGTTGTAGCCAAATGGGGGCTGGTCTCTTCTCCCAGGTAACAAGTGACAAGACACGAGGAAATGACCTCAAGCTGTGCCAGGGGAGGTTCAGGTTGGACATTAGGAAGGACTTCTTCACAGAAAGGGTTGTTAAACACTTGAATGATTATCCAGGGAAGTGGTGGAGTCACTGTCCCTGGAGACATTCAAGAAACAACTGGATGTGGCATTCGATACCATAGTCTACTTGACAAGGTGGTGTTTGGTCACAGGCTGGATTCAATCTCAGAGATTTTTTTTTAACATAAATGTTTTTATCATTCCCTCTTCATCACCCAGAAAGGTTTTCCTAATGCCTAACCTGGACAAGCCAGCTGCTCAGCTATACACAAACTGAGGGCTACCATACATTCATGACTCTTAAATCCTATCCGTTTATGAGGGCAGACTGTTTGGGCAGCAGTAAAGTTAGCGAGACAGGATGCCCTGCAGAGAAGCCATTCTGGTTTCTGTTCCAGCAGGACACATTAAATCCTCAGTGAGCCTTTTGCCCTTCCCCTCATAGGAATGAAATGCAGTTTTGCCACCACTGCGACTGTGGATCAACACTGACTAATCTGTGGTGGTAACACATGGTTATCACCAGGCTTTGCTTCAGAAAGGGAGACAACTACCACCTGTACTGCAAGGGAAGAGGAACTAAAGGTTCTGTACCCAAAAAGCAAAGGACAAGACAAATAATCACCCCTGTAAGCAGCAACCCAAGCTCCTCGCAGCACAGTGGAGCAGCAAGCAGAGATAGCCCTCAAGCAAAATTCATGTGTTACCTCCATTATGGATTCAACCTGGCAAAGCCCTGCTAGCTGGCTCAAAGTTCCTTGGCCTGCACCACCACGGGCTTCCAGACCCAGCTAATGTGCAGTCTGCCTGCTGGCACACCAAAGGCTCCTGGATGCTGCCAGCTCACTGCACATGCCCTGCACAGCACACACAGGCTCCTGCCTGTCTCTGAGAAATGCCTGGCAGCCCTCCAGGAGCCAGCACTTTCTAATTGCAAAATGCTGCCAGGGCTTGACTGTCATTATCAAAGCATTTTACCTCTCATGTTTCACTCCGCTTTCTCCAAGAAAGAGAGGATGATTATCCATCTCCCTTGGGGTTTGTAAGGAACCAGGTGAATTAACATACCTGAGGTGCTGCAAGCCCTTCACGAGGTGACCAAAGAAGTATTTTACAAGTGATTTCTGGCTCTAATTCAGAAGTGGTTTCCTGCTCCTGTTGGCTGCAGAAGCAATATTCAATCATGTTTTCACAAACTTGTGAAAGAGGGTTTGGAGATTCTTGGTGCCCTCCACCACCCATGGGTGCCACCTCCTTTGCACAGAGCTGGTGCAGCAGTGTTGAGCATCAATGTGAAGCAGGTTCCTTGGGCTGAATCACAGCAGTCCAGTGCTCAGAGGAGGGATTTCCCCAGTGCTCTTCCAAAATGTAGTGGAAATGTACCTGGCTTTTTTGTAATACGTGAAGAGTGCTTTCTTCCATTTGTTCTGATCCATCAAAAGGACATTAAAAGAATGTTGTTAAAAATACTTAATTTTGGCCAAAACGAAAGGGAGTGAGAGACAGCAGTGTATGCTTTGGGGATGAGAGCACTGAATTGAGGAATACCATTCCTAAACCACAATGCCACCTCAAAAGCTTCCCAGAGATTTCTTTTCCAGGTAATTGTTTTTCCAACTTGTTTAGACCCTGTTGCAGAATTTGCCAGAGCATCTTAAAGCAGAGAAGAACAGCTTGAAAGGTTTTGTTTAGCATAGTTATTCTTTCTCAGTGACTGACAACATACACAGCGTTTTCAAGAAGCTGATGTATGTCAAACCTTCATGTCACCCTTGTGTCTCTGCCTGACATGAGCTTATTCCATGCAATTTGTGTAAGGCTCCCTGCTATTCAGCCATACCACTAGCAGGGACTGGTTCCAGTCACATATGCAAATGAAACAAACAAAACAAAATTAGGCACAAAATTTCACTTGGGACAGCTCTGAAGAGAGAATCTTGGTCAGTTATTTATTTCTTGGCACTGATGAGTGCCAAGACTTTTAATTTCCTTATGGGGTGAAGACTGAACGCAGAACTTCTAAAATCAATGGGATTAGACATAAATAAATTCACTCTAACCAAATCAGCCTGGGGCATCCTATATCCCAAATTGATTTTGCATCTTTCTTTATTTCTCAGTATATCATCTTCAAAAGGTAGATATTTGGCATGCAGCTGATGCATTAATCCAAAGCTTCTGTGACAGTACAGGCACAACTAACTGGAAAACCCCACATGTCCCAGTACAGTGCAAAAGACAGCAACAGATTTACTGGAGTTTCAAAACCAAAATAAGTGACATTATTTTCCAGAGAAGGCCAGCAGCCAGCCCTCAACAGAAGTGTCAGAGCAAAAGCTAAAGCAGGCTGCAGCTGGTCATTGGCACACACAAAGCTGCTCTCCAATTCCACTGGGTACGCCACGTGGCACCATCCAGCATGTGGAGGCCTCTTTTACCAGGCTCTAGAGATGTGCACACATTGGAGCAGTGGGACGCTGCTGGGTCAGCTTGTCACCTCTGTGCACAGTATCCCCCCAAGTGCCATTGGGACACCTCCAAGGTGCATAGCCCTTTGATACAGTACAGCCCACCAGGCACCAGGGGTTGGCATTTTCAAGAAGGGACTCCATTTATGACCATACACTCTCCAAAAACCTGCCTGACATACTGGGGTAAAACAGAACTCCAGGAAGAGCCATGAGGTTTCTATGCTCCCAGTAGAACTTGCCCTTATCCAGTAGAAACCCATTTTTCACTGGGCTTTGGCAAACAAAAAACTCAAATGATTTTCCATTTTAATGGAATTATGATAGTTGTTCTCCCTTTCCTTTCCCTCACCTCACCACACATTAAGGTGAGCAGAGTCCCAGTGAAACCCCAACACTCCCTTCCCATCTGGCTGTACTACACCCTGAATGGCTACATGGTCAATTGGACTAAGAGCCACTGAAAGGTCTAGGAAAGATGTTCAACTTGCAGAAAAGGAGACTGAGCACTCAAAGGCACTAAGAGATGCACAAAGGCACTAAGAGATGTATGACACTGAGGGACTTAAAGTGGAGCAGGAAGCACTGAGGCTGAACACTTAGAAGAAACTTCCTTTAAGGTGCCTTACACCAGGTCATTAACCAGTCATTAAACACAGATGAGGAAAGGAGTAAGAAGACTAAGCCAAGAAAAATAATGGAAAGAAAAAAAACAAAACAAAAAAAAAAACCAAACAAACCCAAAACCCCAACAACAAATCAATCAACTTTTATATCTTCAAAAGCCAATTATCACAACTTCATCTAGGGCTGGGACACTGTGTACCTTCCTGCTTTATTTCACTGATGCCAGGAGACTTTTAGTCCAGAGGATGTACCAAAAGTAATGCCTCCATTTTTATAGTGGAAACCTGCCAGGAAAGAAAACAGAAAAGTCCATGCAAGCATCTATAATAGGTTGTGGTGAGTATGAAGCAAGAATAGCAAGTCAGGGAACCTTCATATTTTGCAGGAATGGAACTTCCATTCCCTTCCACAAGTTAAACATACTATCCCAAAAAGATTTTCTCATGGGAAAAAGTAAGCAATCAGGAATGGAAACAAACTGGTTAGAATTGATTATGTTGCTAACTCTGAGATGACTTCAGACATTCGTTTGGGGCAACCTTGGGGAATGTGACAAAACAAAGTATTTGAGTATAAACGAAAACCAACCATTTTGAAACCAAGGTTGATTTCTTAGACATTCAACAATAAATATATATGCATGCATATATACACATATTCCACAAACAGCTCACTACTTTATGGGTTTAAGATGCAAAGAAAAACATCCATATTGAATTACCCAATTAAAAAAGTGAGAGAGGACAGAAGGAATGGGATTGCTTTTTTCAAAACCACATTTGTGTTGCATGATTTTTTTGTGGTGAATTTCAAGATTTTGCAATTTTTGGGAGAACATGCAGACTGAACATTGACTTTCCACAAATAAATATAAACCCTAAATAAAACCAAAAGCATTATATGAAGTCTATTTTAAATAATGGACAATCAAATTTTATTTTTTTAAAAGGGATAAATGAAGTTGGTGTAAGTGTGATTGCTTTCAGACTCACCTGCAGGCATATATCCACCAAATTTACAAATTTTAAATGGTCTTTAAATCCAGCTCCAAATCCACTTTGACAGCTCCAACCTAGATGAACAGTTAAACACACTGACCTCCCCTTTAATTAACAGAGGATATGTTAAATAGCATCTGTGGGAGGCCCCTTCAGAACAGGCATGCAAGACACACGTACTCTATCTAAACATACTCCATTTAAAAGGGCAAACAATCCCAGGGGGATGGGGGCGGGCAGGAACTATCTGTGATACTGACTAATAGCTTTAAATATAGTTTATTTTCTTCAAATGTAGCTGGTACCAAATGTCTTTCTGTACATAGAAAGTTCAGTGGGGTAGGAACAGCTATTTTAGGGTTGATGGAAGGTCAGCAGAACACAAGACAAGCACTGGTGTTCCAAGGCTCTTGTAAGGATGCTAAACCTGAAAGGGCTTTTTAGGAGAATGCATTTTTACTAAAGAGATGCTGGCAGAGGACTTCATAATGATTATATGCATTAAATGAAGGACTCCCTTTTTGATCAGCAATGTGACTTCTCTACTGGTTGAAGCTGTGTTATCAGGAATCTTTTTCATAATAAACAGCAGAAAAAAGATAGAATTTTTACTTTCAGGGTTTGGAGGTTCTTTATGGGGGGAGGGAGTATTTTTGTGTTTGTTTTAAATTAAATTAAATAATATTTTAACATATCTGTGCAAATAAGGTGATAATTTTCTTTTGAAAAGAAGATTAAAAAAAAACTTCAAATGCAGTGACTTTCGTGGTCAAGCAAAGTTAACTAAGGCTTCATACAAACCCTAAACTCCACAGGTGCAGGAGCTAATCTCTTCTGCTCCCCATGCAAGAGACTACCTAGCTATGCCGTCCATAGCTCCAGTTTCTCTACAGCTGGTAAGTACAATACTTACTGTGTAGGTGGTGAGGCACTGGCACAGGATGCAGAGCTGTGGATGTCCCATCCCGGGAAGTGTTCAAGACCAGGTTGGATGTGGCTTTGAGTAACCTGGTCTAGTGGAAGGTGTCCCTGCCCATGGAAGGGGGCTGGAAATAGATCATCTTTTAAGTTGCTTCCAACCCAAATCATTCTGTGTTTTGTACAGAATTAAAAAGGGGAAAAGCATACTATTTTTTTTTTAATTTTAGCAGCTGCATGTTCAAACTAAAGAAATCAGATAGATTTTGCTCTTGGCAATCTTAAAATAAGTATGTATGTCACTTGCCCCTTCATGGCTGCACATCACTGATGCCAGCACTCCTGTCACTACTTTCCAAGAGAGATTCCACAAGACCAACCTGAGGCCAGGTGATAAACTGAGCGAGGTTATCAGCAGTGCAACAGAACTCCCAGCAAGCTGTTTAAATTTTATCTGCTCTCAGCATCCTCCCAGGTGCTGATTAGGCCCAGCAGCTTCCTGGAGCACAGTTGCTCCCAGAACAGGTCCTCTGAGAGCGCACAGCCAACACTGCCACTCTGCTTAAAAAAGAAGAGTCTTGCTCTGACGGAGACCCCAGCTGACCACTTGAACAGGTGTTGCGGTAGCACAGCTCAGCACCATTTCTTCAACTAGAGAGCAGCAATACACTGGGTTGTCTGCAAGCAAGGTGCAGCTCAGACCTTCTGCTCCTTCAGATCCAGTGCCCAAGAGCTCCTCTTATTTTAATTGGCTTTTGAAGGACTCCAGTGTGCGCCTTTCCATGTCAAGTAAACTCAACCTTTTCTTAAAACCATCACTTCCAGGGCTGAGAAGATACTTTCAGAATTCCATAAAACACATTGTTTTATTTTTCCAGACTTTTTGCAACTAAGTTTAGAGTGATGGATCCAATTGTCTTGCTGGTTCTCTTCAAGGATTAATTACACAGTAACCTGCACCCCCTAATTAGGATGTTTGTGACTCACATTTCTGAGCACAGGAACATGAATTGGAAGAGATTTAGTTATGCTAAAAGTCCAGGATGTGGAAAACTATCATTGGACAGCTGTATTAAACAGAAATAAAGGACAACTGAAGGAAATTAAACTTCATGTTACCTGTTCCTTGAGGTAATGACAAAGACAATATTCTGCTTTATCTTAAATAAATTCAAGAAATGGAGAGTGAATACAGACCACCAAACTGCACAACTGTAAACACAGTGCAAAGGAGTTTTTCAGGGAGTGACGTCTTTATCTTTGAAAGAATCTAGGACATTGCTGGTACTCTTTATCTCTACCACGATATTCTTGCAGTCCAACTATCATTGTGACTTTTGATCTTTTACCAAAAATAACAAGTTTTCAATGGAATCAGGAAGTTGAGCCAGTGGCCCATGCTATGTGAAGAGATCAAGCAAGTATTTTCCTAGTCTAAACTTAATGTCTATTTCTTTGCTTTCTGCAGACAGAGAAGACTGCATTCTTACCCATCTGTTTTAATTTTTTTTAGTCCTACATGTCTATGTGTGAAATCTTGAAAAAACTGAGAGATTTAGCTGCCACTTTTAACTTATGCCAAAGGGATTTAGGTAGGTCTGCTAAAAATAACTGTCCATGACTTAGTATAAGTAATTGTGGCTGCTATGACTGAGGAATTGTCATCCTACATAATCTCTCAAAGACAAGCCTCAATTAACAGTGAATGAAGCTGGTTTTTGGAACTCAACAGTAAAGATGTTGTGAGGGTTAGCACATCAGTGAAGCACAATAATTGTTTCACTGTGCTTATTATCTAGTGACTACAGAAAATGAGAACACTCAGCCATTAAACAAGCAGTGATAAGCTGTCAGAACAATTTTGTGCCCTAGAGAAGATACAATTCTCTACAATACTGCTCCTGGAGGACAGGGGAATTTCAACCAGCCTAGCTATCTCACACATAACAATCAAAGGACAAAGGGCAAAAATGAGAGGTTCCCACCCAAACTCTTCACTGTGATGTACCACCGGCTGCTCCATGTCCTTGTTCTGCACAGGTGGAAGATAGTCTCTACCTGATGTTTAGCTCAGGCTACAATTACTTGTGGTTTGATTTTATCAGTGTCCATAAGTACCCAAAAGTGGGTATCAAGAAGAAGGATCTCTTCTTGGCGGTGCCAAGCAATAGGACAAGAGGCAATAGGCAGCAACTGATGGACAGAAGTTCCCCCTGAATATGAAGAACTTCTTTAGTGTGCAGGTGACCATGCACTGGAACAGACTGCCCAGTGAGGCTGTGGAGTCCCCTTCACTGAGGATATTCACAAACTGTCTGGACACAATCCTGTGCCCTGTGCTCTGGGGTGACCCCGCTTGAGCAGGAAGGTTGGACCAGCTGACCCACTGTGCTCCCTTCCAGCCTGACCCTCTCTGTGATTTCCAGAAGTCGATGTGATGAGCTGTGGCCCACTGGGGAGAACAGCATTCCTCAGGCCAGGTGATTGTTGAATACTGGGTATTGATGCTATTCCACAACCAGGGCTCATTCTGAGTCCATCTGCACACAAACACCTGGAGAACACGGAAGCACCCAGCACCCTGCCTTCGTTGACAGTCCCATCTTGAGCAGCTCCAGCCCTAACATACACCCTCTACACATCTAAGCCTTGCTCATTTCCTTTCCCCATCCAACCATTCCTGTCCTCTGGTCACGATGAGTAAGCAGATTTCTTAAAAAAAAAGGCCCAGTGTGTGAAACCCTTACTGAGTTTACCAATTTCTTCAGATAAAATGCAAAGAATTACGAGTAACAGTGACATTCTAAGTTGAGATTGTTAACATTAACACAATGAAGATTATGTAAAATATAATATTTTACATAATAAAATATATTCTCTTCCAGCTGAAGGCTGATACACATGTAGGCTTTATGCCTGCATCACTTTTTAGAATCTCCTGCCCCAAAAGAAAGAGACTTTGCAGTCCTCAGCCCTGCAGCTACCTAGCACAGGGAATTTCTAATGGATCTTAAAAGACAAAAAGGCAATTTAAGGTGCTAGGATAGACCAAGAATGAACAACCTGTGGCAGCCCTTTTTGAAATTTTTGCCATTTGTAGAGGCAAGAGATTTGTAAATCTGTTGTCTTCTTACAGAGCAGCAGAGTGATGCCTTTGGAAGGCTGTTTTTCTCCTCAGAAAGCAGAAGCAGATCTTTCGCAGGTTTTCTTGGATGAAAATGTACCCACCACAGATCTTAAGCAACCCAGAAATTTCTGCTTTTAACAACTGTCATTCTCGTACATAGTCCTCTGCAAGACTATTGGTACAATAAATGCTGCAATAAAAAGTTTTTGGTATTATACTCTGAGATATGACATGGATTGACTTGAGTAAACTCTCATACTTTTAAACATTTTCCCCTATTTTCATATGTCCCTGGAAAAAAAAAAAAGGCAAGTCTATAAACATCTTCTTTTTTCTTCCCTCCTTACCAAATATCAATTAATGCAAAACCAGCACACTTATCTAGGATCATATGGGATGCAAAACTGAGTCTGATGACTATTTATATCTAATGGTTCTGCTCTCTTACACATATCCTCTGGTTAACTGCATATATTTCTGAATTCAGAGGTAGGACTAAAAAAGACAATCATCAGTATTAACTATGAGATCCTGCTAACAACAGTCAAAATTAAATGCTGAAACAGAAAACAAAAAAAATTTCACAAACAAATGTTACGCCTTAAGAAAGCTGAATTCATTAGAAGTTTATACTTTTGTTTTCTTCTTCTAGAGTTAAAAAATTAACAATTGTTTAAGTACACAATTTAAAAAACAGTGGCTCATGATTGACACATTTTCAGTCAACTTTCTAAATTACTTAAACAAAATCAAACACAATTCCTACAGTTACAGCAAATCAACAGTCATATGAAGATATTTACAGTGCAATGTTCTAACTCATGCTCTCAGCTTTACAAAATGGCCATATAATTGATTTGAGTGTCATCTGTGAAGCATGTTGCCCCCCCATACAGACCAGTTTTAGGATTCCAGCCATATTCTGCTAAGAGGCTTAACAGGAGTAAATCAGGAGTTTAGATCTATGGCCTCTCCCAAACAGGGATGCAGATGGCAGTTTCTTCTTCCGAAGACAGCCCCATATCCAAATCAGCCCAATCAACAGCAGCCTAATGAGGGGCAATGGGATCTATACCATGATTTGTGTTATGTAAATGATGTGCCACTAGAACAACAGTGGAAAAAATAAGTTTGGCCAGAAGCAAAAAAAATCAGCTCTTTTTCCTTCCGCTTCTGTGACTTAATGAAGAGACACATTCTTAACTAATTGCTTTGGCAGGCCAGCAGGCTGCCTGTGCTTAATGATACCATTAGGAATTCCACAAGTTTTCAGCTTCTAACACTAAGAACTTCCAACATGTGCTTTTTAAGAGTGAACCTTGGAATTCTTTTTCTTTTTAAAAGATTTTTCTTTCATTTCTTCCCACTAGCCACTGCATCAGGCATAACAATACACAAATATGCAACATGCACTTTAAACTGGGCACTTGTCTGTGCCAGGAAAACTTAATATTTACAGAGCAACCCTGCCAACAAAATGGCATTCAGAGCAACTCTGAGTTCACAAATAATAGAAAACTACCCCCTCAACATGACTGCTTCAGTCTTATCACGTACATCCACCTGCACTTTCTCAAAGCTCAACAGCTCTTCATTTTACAGGTCTGAGTTGTGAACATGCACCAAAATTCCCTTTTCATACTTACAACAGAAATGAAGAATCTAAACATCAGATAGGATCATATTTGTCCTTCTTCACAATTAATTTGCTTCCTCTTTTAGGCTAGGGCAACACTTTTCAAATATAGTAATCCATAAAAAAGAAACGAGCAGACAAGCATTCGAAAGATGGCTGGTTTTTGTCCTGGAGGCTACTTAAAAAAAAAAAATCACATAACATTTAAAGAAAAGATAACATTGCTGTAATTCAACTAGTTTTCTCCCTTATTTGTTTTATGCAGCAGAAAATATAATTGTCAGCTTCCTACAAACAGCTGACACTTTGGATGTATTGGAGCTGGACTGGGGGACAACCAGAGATTTAAATGTAGAACTAGTAAGGATGTTAACAGGCTCAAACTGCAGCTTCCCAAACATCTGCTTAGCAGCCTAACTGTCTACATAAAGGGATTCACTGAGCCAGAGAGGAGCTGTGCATGTGCCCTACAGTATTGGCCTGGACAGCAGCTTGAACAGGGCAGGCTCAACATCAGATCATTCCCTAAGGCTTTTCTTCCCCTCCAATGCCCATGAAGTCTCTGACACAGTGAACATCCAGTTCTTTTAGTCAAACTGGAAATTCTACTG